TCCACTGACTGTGATGAGGTGTACATACCCCATGCTAGAGCAAGGAGGAGACCTGCCCTGCCCCCGGGAATCCTCTCTGTCTGCCAATTGGATCAAGAGAATGTCTGTCTGGATTCAGCAAAGCAGCTACTTGAACAGGAAGAGGAAGTGATTTGGGGGCTCTCGGAGGAAAGGAGAAAGGAAAAAGAATCCTCTCTCGTCCCTGTCCATGAAGAAACTGAGCCAGGGCCCGATGGACCAACCACTAGAGGAACCTTGGTTGCACTCTGCTTGAAGAGCCATGCAGATTACACTCAGGGCTGCTGGAACAATTTTTATAGTGGGGGGTGCTGAGAGCCATTGAATCAAACTGTAAACCATGTATATAATGGAAACCACTTCAAGCCAGGGGGTGCGGCAGCACCCCCAGCACCGGTAGTTCCAGCACTTATGATTACACTGTCCAATTTCTTGTTCTGGTCTGTGTATAAGCAGTGGTGAGCGGGAGCCGGTTTGCGGGAACAGGTTGTTAAATTTAGAAGCCCTTTTAGAACCGGTTGTCCCACACGGGACAACTGGTTCTAAAAGGGCTTTTAAATTTAACAACCGGTAAAGCTCCGGCAGCTCTCCGCCCCGCCGGCGGCCCCAGCTCACCTCCGCCTCCTCCCCTCTTCTCCTCCCCCTCCCCTGCTTCCTGCGAATCAGCTGTTCGCGCGGGAAGCCTGGGAGGGCTGAGAAGCAAGTGGCGGCTTTGCGCAGGTGAGCTGGGGCGGGCGCGAGGAGGGTTCCAGGGAGGCACGGCCCGGCCGAGCGGCCCCCAACCCTGCAGCTCCGGCCGACCGGCTCCAGCCCTGGCCCAACGGCTCCAGCCCCAGCTGTAGCACCGCCAGCCACCTCCAGGCAGCGCGGTAAGGGAGCAGAGAAGGGGTGTTGGATAGAGGGCAGGGGAGTTCGGGGTGATCAGAGGGCAGGGAACAGGGGGATTGAATGGGGGCAAGGGTCCCGGGGGACAGTCAGGAAGGAGCAGGGGTTGGATGGGGCGGTGGGAGGCAGTCAGGGGACAGAGAGAAGGGGTGGTTGGATGGGGCAGGGGTCCCAGGGGGCCATCAGGAATGAGAGGAGGGGTTGGATGGGGCAGTCAGGGGACAGGGAAGGGGGGTGGATGGGGCCAGGTATCCGGGGGGGCGTCAAGGAACACGAGGGGTTGGATGGGGCAGGAGTCCCAGGGGGCGGGGGCGGACCACGACCCCCTCGTGGGGTGAGGAGGAGGGAACCGGTTGTTAAGATTTTGGTAGCTCATCACTGTGTCTAAGGACTGAAAGGGGGCTGCTAGGACAAAGGACCCTTCTGAACAACTGCAGCTGAGGAAAGCCTGGTATCCCCAGAAATAGGCTGGACCCTTAAAAAGACAGCATTGTAATTTGAGGCCAGAGGCTTCAAAGGGGAGTATTACAGTTGGAAGCTGGTGCCATTAAGAGACAAATATAATTTTCCTTTCTGACAATTTTCCTCCATTTTCTGAACCTGAAGCCACGGCCCTGGGTCCCATTCTTGTGTGATGGCCACCTCTTGGCTGATACCAGGGAAAAGCATGAGTCTGTATGGGTTGAGCTAAAGATCCAAGCTCAGTAGCTGGAGGCTGTAACAAATCCACATCCTTTGTGCATTGGGCACACACCCTGACCAGAGGGCTACATTGTGCACCATGACCCTTTCAAAGGAAACACTTTTATAAAATCCCTGGGCATTCTGGCTATTTTTCCATAAACACACCTGATCTTCTCACATAAACGTTTAATTATACACACACACACACACACACACACACACACACACACACACAGCTATATATTTAGAGAAGGCAAGGTCAAAGGAATGCGCCTTCAACTTGGAGTGGAAGGTGGTGAAGTTTGTCTTGATCCTTAGTTCCTTTGGCAGTTTGTCCCACAGTCAAGGAGCAGCCCCTGAGAAATCTGTTTCCTGCACAGATGAGCTTTACCCTTGGAGTAATTTTCATTGTGCCTGAGAAGCAAAGTTGTTGAAAGTCATATGCCATTGAAGACACCGTATAAAGAAATCAAGAGGTGTGGTCTGTTTGCCCAAACCAGACACTTCTGTTCAAGTTAAAGCATTATTAGCCTATTTTAGAGAAATGCATTAGCAATGGGAAGAGCAAGTGCTTTCGTTCTCAAGATATGATCTGCCCATATTATTGTGAAGGTTACTCCTTACGTTGTGTGATACTGTATTGTGGAGCCATGATATTTTTAGTATAATGCCCATCATCACTCAGTGTTATTTCTCCTATGAATAAAGTACTCAGACATTCTAAGCCACGCCCAGAATGACTGGTCAAATGAAAAGCTGTGTACAATTAATTGGTGTGGAATGCCATAGTAACTTCTTCCAAGCACAGCAACAGGGGAATCTGCAATGACAAAGCACGTCAGACAGCTGCAGCACAAATTATACTCAATCCCAACTAGGATGGAAGCTCGCATTCATTCCCAGTGAGTAGGAATAGCCATAGTGGTTCATACTAATAATTTCCAGCTGAATTTAGTGCTAGTGAAAAGTTGCAAATGGAAATCTCTGGAGAATTAAATCCTCTATCTTCTACATCAGAAGTTCAGAAAACCCAGTGGCAGTGACAGCTTCCTCACCTCTCCCCTACCAATGTGCATTAATCCTCTCTAGGGTGAGAGGGTAGTTTTGTCTCTAGGATCCAGTCAGTTCTTGCCATCTCCACTGAGAGTGCCAGCAACAATGCCAACTGTAGTGCTGTTTTTCCCAGCATGGATGTCCATTCACTGGGAATTGGACTGAAACAGCCATATACATTTCACATAGATCATCGCAGAGCCATTAAGCCCACTACTGGTCAGGCTTTGTGTGTGTTATGTGTCCTGCTCTGCACCAGATCCAGAGCATGCAAGTCTGCTACTGCCCAGCTACAGCGGCTGGCTCTTCAGTTCAATCTGTAAAGGCTTATGTGTTTATCTCTAGAGATCCCTGGTCAACCCCTAGTGTCCACCAAGATGGCAGCCATCACACCATCAGATGGTAACAACTTTCAGTTACTATTGACCCAGATTAGATTTGAACTATCAAGATACAAAGGAAAGATTCTATATCTCAGTTCCCAAATTATTTAGTCCCTCACAAAGTCATTACACACACACACACACACACACACACTAAAGCAATAGCTCTGAACTCATGTTCTTTGGCATACATAGATATTTAGAAGCTTTGCATAATGTGAATTAATGTTGTACTGGACAAACAAAAAAGCAATTTTTTTGTTTATTTCAGAATACCTATTGCTGTCTAAAGCAAGTGTGAGACAGCAAAAAGCAATGCAGAAACTGACTGGGGCACCAGGAAAATGCCAGTATTGCGTATCTCATATGCCCACCCAATCTAATGCCTGGTTTAGAATATCTCCTACACAGAGAAAAGCCAACTTCTGGGGGGACCTGTGGTTAAATTCTTTACATGGGTTAATGGGAGTAGGAGCTATATGGAATTCTACTAGTGTACTGCTGTGGACGATCTATTAGTTTCCAGATACTGTAATAATAAGACTGTTTTAAAAAATCATTTGTAGGGTAGAAAGGTGGTCTGAATGAAAACTGACAGAGTGAGGTTCTTCTAAATGTGCAAATAGACAATGAGAAACAATGGATCTGAGAGGTGTGAGTTGCCCCCATCTCTCTATGGGATATTGACTCTGAACCATAACGACAAATTCATGTCAACATTGTTAACTGCTTCACCTTTTATCACCCAGATGATTTGCATTTTAATTCTGACTGGAGATTTCAAAAGGTAGAGATGAGAGAGACATATTAGGGCATTTTATACATCCCTTGAGGCCACACAAAGATTTTACAACAGTATTTTCTCTAGTGCTTTGTCCAGCCTAGTTTTAAGTGTTCTAAGCAATGGAGCCTCCACACTTCTTCTTGAGAAACTTTCTACAGACTAATAGATCTGTCACCATTAGGCAGCTGTTCCGGTTTTATTTTAGCCTAAATTTCCTTTCTTTATATATACTTTTGTCCAATTACTCCTAGTTGCCACTTAGGGCTCAAAGTGAGCCAACAGAAAAGAGGGAAAAATAAATATGGCTGTCACCAGGGACAGGGAGCCATGATGGGAAGGAGAAAGTTAACAGCAGCTATCAAGGGAAGGAACATGGGCATGAGTAGAGTCCTACCATTTTGACTTCTGGGTACCAGTAAATGACAAGGAAAGGGTTATATTCAACTGTCAAAGCAGAATCATTTACACTGAAGCAGGAAAACTGAATCCTAGGGGGAAAAAAAACACGCCTCTAAGTTCAAGTAGACAATGGATCAAACTGTCAAGGGAGGCTGCATTTCTGACCTCTCTGAAGATATTCAAGACAAGACTATACAAGAAGCTACTGTGGCTACAAGAGAAAGTTATTAAAATTATTTTGTAGTCAAGCAATTTGGGGGGGGGGGAGGTAGAGGAAATGGACTATATAACCCAGGAGATTCCTTCCTTTTCCTGGACTTACAAATCTAGTAAAAATCCATGAGAAATGTTAATCACACGTACCGTAATCAGATTTCAAAAGTGAAATATCTCTACTTGTTTTCCCAAAATCATCCAAAAATTCATCCATGTTATGGACTAGGTATGGTAATTTATTTAAAAAACCCTCACATTTGAGTCATTTTTCAGTTATATAAATTTGAGTCTTAGGCACTGGAGCAACTGAAAAATAATCTTTTTTAAAATTACTTCATTCTCAGGGATAAAGTTCAATCCTAGTCAGATCCTGAATGGCAAATTTCAATCAAAAATGGATTTTTACAGCCCAAGTACATAACCTAAAGAATAAAGTTCATGATAAAAATAAACAATACCATAACCTGAAGCAAATTTTCGCAAATGATATAGTACTTTAAGGGAGACTTAGCAAAAGCAGAAAGCATATGAATTGTTAACATAATTGGTAATAATTACTGCAAGCAAATGATAGTTACCAATTTAGATCTATAATCCATGAGACAGATGGAGGCTTTGCTGTGAGTGTATGAATCAAGATTGGTCACACTGTTGAACCTGTGATGTAGAAGCAAAAGGATTACAATGTATATGATAAAGATGAACAAAGAAAATATTATACAAGCATAAATTAACTGCAATAAATGGACAAGTTATACTAGGAAAACTCTGCTGATTAAGGGCCAGAACCTGCTCTCATTGAAGTTAATGGAAAATTTTCCATTGACTTTAAATAAAACAGGAGCAGAGGCTGAATTGTAGAGTCTCATACAGATATTCAATGAATAGCTATTTAGGGATACCAGTCCATAACATAGATTCATAGATTCTAGGACTGGAAGGGACCTCGAGAGGTCATCGAGTCCAGTCCCCTGCCCTCATGGCAGGACCAAATACTATCTAGACCATCCCTGACAGACATTTATCTAACCTACTCTTAAATATCTCCAGAGATGGACATTCCACAACCTCCCTAGGCAATTTATTCCAGTGTTTACCCACCCTGACAGTTAGGAACTTTTTCCTAATGTCCAACCTAAACCTCCCTTGCTGCAGTTTAAGCCCATTGCTTCTTGTTCTATCCTTAGAGGCTAAGGTGAACAAGTTTTCTCCCTCCTCCTTATGACACCCTTTTAGTTACCTGAAAACTGCTATCATGTCCCCTCTCAGTCTTCTCTTTTCCAAACTAAACAAACCCAAACATGATTAGAGGGACACGGTCTAGGTTATATAACCAAAAATCTACCCTCCAGGTAAGTTCTTGACATTTATAAGGGGAATCGTGGTATGTTTCTTGCAGACAGGCAGTGAAACGAATTGAACCCAGAAGAAAAAAAACACCTTGAAATACATCCATATATAACTTTGGTTTTGCACATTATCTGGGTCAAATTCTAATCCATTACCCTGCTACAAGGACCAAATATAGTAGGACTTGGCAAAAGTGGTTGCTACTCCACTTACAGAAGGTCTAAGTACAAAATAATACTTGAAGTCAATAGTTACAGATTTACACTAGTGGTAGTGAACAGAATTTGGCCCTCTCTTACTTCTAAGTAAACCTAGAGGCCAAATGTATCTCTGATGGAACTCCCCAGGAGTAAAGGGAAAAACACCATCCCCCTAATATCTTGTTTGACTTTATACTGTACCAGTACACTAGGTAAACTGTTTTAACTTGGGAGCAAATTCAAACCTGACGTAAAATGTAATGAATTTGCATCTACTTACTCCCAGGTCTGAATTTGTTCCAGTTTGCTCACATAGGAGAATTTATTTTCTGCTGTTTTAACCTATTTGATGACCGAATTGTATATTTTTATGCTGATAGTTCACCTAGACACAGGTTCTAATTTTGTGCATAATGGGGGCTCTAGATGACACTTAGTTCTTCCCTATATACATATTCCCCATTTTCCTCAAGATGTTTATTAACCAACGTCAAAGAGAACAAGAGGGGATAAATATCTGACATCAGCTGCTCCTGCAATTCCTGGACATGAAGTTAGAAGAAGGAAGGGTTTTCGAAATCTTCCTTCCCCTGCCTACTCATCCTTACTGCATCAAACGTTGCTACAACAAAGCGTTGCTGAAAAATTCTTCCTCTTTCAGATCTCTTTAAAAGCAATTTCCAAAATAACATGGTGATTGTCATTTTTTTCAGCCTCAGACTTGACCCGACTCTTCGGAATCTAAATTAGATTTATCTAATCTTCAAATATTGTTTTAGAGAAAGAGGAAGTTCTGTGGAGCAGCCTCAAAACGTAAAACATCAGAGTTACTGGCACAGAATGGGAGCTTAAAAACCACTTACTAGCGTAGTGGCGTTATTACAAAAGACAGCGCCCCACTTCACTGAGAGATTGTGATTGTGAGAAATAACTTTAACATGTGCAATAGGAAGCAATGTGCTCCAATTGCATGGGAGTCAGGAGACCCGGGTTTTATCAACTCTGCCTACAACCTGCTGTGTGACCTTGGCTGAGTCACTTGCACTCTTGGTGCCTCAGTTTCCCAGCTATACAATAGGAATAACATTACCTAGGATCTGTTGTGAAGGGCTTTGATTTCCATGGATGAAGTGTTATATGATCGCTACGTATTCTATCCCCGAGAATTCTCACACTGACTTTTGGGATAAGGCAGTTACGTTACAACAGACATTTAACCCTTCCCTGAAGTTGCTCCCGCTGGTGGGGAGGAAGCGGCTAAGCCAGCCTGCTGTGCTCCTTTGTGGGTGTGAGGTGGGAGCAGGGCCAGAATAAAGCAATCCAGAGCCCTATGCACACATGGTATGGACCCCCTCGTGACTAACTCCACTTGCAGTGGTGCTGGCAGGAGGGTCCCACCTATCCCAGAGACATACGGGCAGCACCATGAGGCCCCTTTCTCTCCCCTAGAAGGAGCAGCAGGGGCCCCTTCCCCACCTAGAGAGGCAGGGGATGGCAGTGGGGATTCTCCCAGTACTTACCCCAACAGTCAGACTGTGTCTACTTGGGTGAGCAGGCAGGGCCTGCTACATTTTCCTCCTCCTGTCCCAGAGCCCTATTGGCAGTACCTCCCAAAGCAGCGGATCATGGGATTAATACCCCGTTCCGACGTATAGGACAGTTCACACTGCTCAGTTATACTCAGGTCACATTTGAGGGTGTTTCTTCACAATCATGAGGTCTAGAAACTTTCAATTGAAACAAAATAACACTGAAAACTGAAATTCTGACCTCATCATGTGACAGGAGCCTTAGGCATGGGTTTATAGTGCCTATGTCTTAATCCAGCCTTGGGTGGAGGGTATCTTTAAAGGGGCAGACTGCTCCCTACCCAGCAACTTCCCAGGGGTGGGGATCTAGACTGGAGCTATGTTTGTGTGGCAGCTCCTGGACTCAGCTATTGCTGTCATGCCAGCAGTGCAGGAGGACGGTCCTTGTTGTCAGACATGTCAAAGGTAGAAATCATACCTGGAGTTGAATTTTACTTGTTTGCACGGTGAAATATCCAGCTGTTGAACAGATTTTTTATTATTATTATTATTATAATCTAAGATGTGTTTGAGTTAGTTTCACAAATATCCCTTTGTAAGAATCCTTTGTATATTTGGAATAGCAATAACTTTTCTTTAGTGGGGTATAATTTGAGAAATTATATTTTTTTTGCTGCACTATCCCAGTCCGATACAGTCACATGTGCTAATCACATTTTCCATCAGCGATGACAACAGAATTCACACAACGTATAAAAAAGTCATTCAGAAATGTGTTTCAAGCAGAGACAAAACCCAAAAATTGCAAAGAATGGACTAATGGGGGATTATTTTTTTTTATATTTGGAATTATCAGGGGGTTACAACATATGTATTTTTGGCCATCTGATTACTGAAAGGTTGGCTTGTAGGATCATCCCTCAGGACTTTTGCAGAATGTGTCTCTTCTCTAACTAAACACAGTAAGGGTTCCAACATCTTTTGCTACAATCTGAGATCTTCATCGTTGAACTGACCTGTAGCATAGCCTGAAAGGCTTTTAACTTGTATGTTCTATCACTAAGTGGTGCAAAGAAACACTATTAAACTCTCAACCCGTGCACTATCATTGGCCCTTCTGACAGGGAATAATCTTGGGTGGAACAGTTGAGAAGAATGGCTGTTTCTAACACTGAACAGTTTGTACTCGAGGGTATGGAAAGATGTTCAGTGTATATAGTGAACGAGAATCCTCTTAAAATACTACTTCTTCCAGAAGGAGTTAAACTTTTCACAAAGGCCAATGGGACTTGAATGCTTTTGAAAATGTTACCCTTGAGCAAAAGGCACGTATTTCAAGAGGCCCATCTCTGTTGACCTGCATTTGAAATCCTATGATGTATTAAATGCTAAAAACAAGAACTAAATCAATCTCTTGCACCACTCTGCATCTCCATGACATGCTAACCCAGTGCTTTTGAGGTGAACTGTTAATTAGTTTCGTCTTCTGAGATTATAAATGCCTCAGGGTGGGGACTGTGTTTTACTCTATGGACTGATCAGCACTAAACACAACAAACACAAACATGCAAGGACAATATAATTATACTCCCCTTTTATACAGACTGGGAAACTGGGGCACAGAGAAATTAAAGGACTTGTTGAACATCATACAGCAAGCCAATGACAGGGTGAGAATAGAAGTCCAGGAGTCCTGACACCTCCCATATTCTATTAGTCCCCAAATATATCATATAATACCCCCCAAATATATGGGATGAATAAGTCTCTCTGCTTGATGCCAAAGATCAAATATTTCCTGACAGTGGGTGATGACAACTCAACTCAATTACAGTGAATTGAACAAGCTTCCGAAGACATGCATTGAGTACCCTGGGACTCTGGCCACAGTATACATTTTTACAGGGCAGGGTTATAGTTTAATACTGGCTCTTACTTACTAATATTGAGAAATGTCCCAAAATATTTAATACCATAATTTCTAAGCCAGAACTGTTTAAAGAAAAACTGATCGACAACCACAACACAACAGCCTACTTCACAACATGAACAATCAATTGACCTGAATGTTATGAGATCCCACCTAAAATGGCAATTGCCCTGCTACTGAGTACACTGCATATTAACAGATAGTATTCTACAAGGACTGTGATGCCTGAAAGAAGGTATGCCTTGGAAGCAGGGGGAGGAACGATGGCTTTGTTACTAAGAACTAAAAGCGCCATGTGGCATCAATTCATCACAATTTAGTACCAATACATTTTCAAGCAAAGAGTGCAGTACAGCTTTGTGAAGATTACAAGACAAACTTGATTATAAAATTGGATTACCTGCCAATTACATTAATCTGCTTTAAATCATTATTATAAATTGCCCTGGTATAACAGCCTCTTAAAGACAGCGATTACTCCAAGGTCAGGGTAAAAACATATACTACACCTTACATGGTAATGAGCCTCGATAACCATAAAGAGGAGAAAGGCTTGTTTAATTTCCTGCACATAGAGGTATATAGGTCTGATCTTGTGCCATTGGAATCCAGTGGCAAAACTCCCATTGAATTATAGGAT